CATTTGAGATGAATATGAAAAATGTGCAACACTGGATTACAAACATGTCACAAAGTGAAGTTCAGTAAGTTCAATAATACAATTTTACATCTACAATTGTAAGCTTAAAAAAAAACTAAATAGAGCAATAATAGGTTAAAAATAAAATACACTTAGAAGTACATCTCTGTTAACACGCTCGGGAGGCACTGATTCAACACACTGAGTGCCATACAGGTTAGTTAATGTGCTTGCAATTAACATCCAAAGCACTTCAGGTGATGAGTACTGCAGATACAGAAAACATGTCCCAAAACTTTTAAATCCCGCTGATGTGATTTCTCCAAACGTGAAGCTAATATACAGAATAAACTACATTCTTGATTCTCAATAGACAGTCACATATTGCATAAAACACAATACTTGTTTGTGCTCAATATGTATTTTATTGGTCTGAAATTACTCTGTTCAATTAAAATTTCTCTGTTCAATTTTATATAAAAACAGAACAAATGTAATACAGAGTAGCTACTTAATGCAACCTAACTGTACCCTCTACTAACAATGAGTTACCAACTACTAAGCTGGTTTTGCAGGCATTTACCCATGAAGACACTAGCAGGTCTTCCAGGAAGCCTTTCTAAGTCACTGCTGCTGCGGGCTACTGTAGCTTCTTTCTGTATTTTTTTTAAACATAGAAATTACTTCAGCTCATAATAATGATAAAAAAGATAGAATGAATTGCTACTGGAAAGTAGAATTTAGCAATTCAGAAGGAAGGAAGAGTATCCACCCCCACACACAAACCCGAGGCTCATTTATGTAATTCATGGCACGGAATCACAGCTTTCTCAACGCAAAAAGATACTGGTAATGGACACTGCCTTTTACATAGAAGACAAAAAACAAACCAAGCACATTCCCCAGATTATTTTTACAGAAATCTATCTTTTGAGCTCTGTATCAACCATAGTTAACAAATGACAAAGAGCAACTTCAAACAATGAGTAAACAAGGAAAGCAAATAAAATCCAAATCAAGAGCTTAACTTCATAAAACTACTACTACTGAAACTGAGCTTCAAAAGACACTTGAAAACATGCTGCTCACAAATATTTCCCAATACCCAGAATTAAGACACTGACACGCTCCTTGATAATGATTTAAATGTTAGTCACACAAAACCATCTACCCATTTGGTTGTAAACGAGTTTTTCCCAACAACCTTTAACACTCATCATGTGTGCAGACACAGTATAATAGCTGCAGTCAGGCTATTACTCAAATCTTAATAAGCACTACGTGTAAACCTCCAGTGAGAGTAAAAACTGTAGCCTGAAGATCATATCCCTGAAGTGTCCTTCTGCAGGCTGTCTAACCCAATTTCCAGTCCTTGATCTCCACCAACACCATTCTCAGTGAGAACTTGTGCAGCCAAACACTGTGACGAGGCTCAGAACTAAAGTGCAATTAATATCCTAGACATGCCAATCAGCCAGGACTATCAGCAGAGCTTCTTTTCCAGAAATGTTACCCCATTTCCTTGCCACCATTTCTGCTGATTCACCCTTTCCCATTCTCAATCTTTTCTGTGCACCTTTCTGAAGAAGCATTGTCATACACTTCTACTATTTTACTATACATTTAATAAGTTTGTCTTGCATTCCTTTCCATTCCCCTTCACTTGGCCTAGTACCAGGATTCACATGAAACTATTATCTTCCTGCTACCAAGTCAGAAACATACCTTCAACTTCATATCTGCTGTGTTTCACCAAGTTAACACCTCAGCTTACATCTCCATTTTTTCATACAAACACCTTGCTATCACAGCCTGGTCTCAGCACAGACAAAACACAGGTCTCTACTTTCTATTACTGCTTCAGTCTCCTTTCTACCACTGCAAGTCATTACCTTTCAGGACTCTTACCTAAGCATCAGCTCTAAAACGAAAGTTCTCTGTAGAAGTTAAAAATAGCCAGCTTAGGGGATCCTGGCAGTATCTACCACGTCATGATTTTAATAGCTTGGATTTTATCTCGTGACCACATCAGCTCACATCAGAACTACTGAAGAACCTCTCTCCATCCTCCAAAATCCAGAATTGACCCTATTCCATTCCTTGTGAACATTCTTCTCTGGACAGTTTTTGCAAACTAACACCAGATCACATAAACCTTCCTTCACATTACTTTAGCAGCATCTGCCCCGCTCTCTGCTCCAAGCCCCTTACTGGTCAATTTCACCCTAAAATTTCTAATCACATTGTCAAACGTGCAGGTTTAATGAGTTGCCAGTGACATTTGCATCTCTGAACTCCTATTCCGTTGCCCTTGTGGCTGGGAGGGCTGCATATAAACATCCACAAATCAGCACATTTTTATTCCAAAAGCTTGCTGTAAGTTTTTTCCACCATTCCCACTGAAAACAAAGCAGCTAGATGCTTGGCATGCCCAGACCACTGCCACTGCACTAAAATTCACCCCATTGGTGCAGATGTCTCTCCTGTGTCATCACCAATCTGATTCATCTTCCCTTCCCCTGAAGCTGGGTCAGGAAACACCTCTTAACCACACAACTTTGCAGTGACTAAATCAGGCACACAACTTGGCCTGCTACTTTGAAAAGTGGTACTAAAACACTTTCCTATTTTATGGAGCCTCTGGTAAACATCATAGTGATAAGCTTGTTCCATTATTGGCTTTTTCAGGGCTTCTCCAAAAGCTGTTTGAAAAATAATCCAAGTACTATCTTGCTTACTGCTATTATAAAGGTTTTCACTGCTAATCAAGTACACAAAGTTATGTCTAGTATTTGGCACTTTTACCTACCCTTTCTAAATGTTTTTAGTTATTTGCTGCTACAGAAATCTCTGCAAAGGTTTTAGGCAATGACTTCTCGCGTTATTGTCTATTTAACAGATCACCTTATCCCAGACTCAAGAGAGAGACACAGAAAAGACAATTCCACATTTTAAGCCATTTTAAAGTGACAGGAAAATAAACTATTAAAAGCAGAAATTCTGCCATGCTTCTGTAGCACAGCAATTCTCAAAATAATACAAAGCAGTATCGCTACTTAAAACAAAACATTTTGAACTCAAAATGCCCATCTCTGGTTAAATAACATTTTTGTCTTTAATTGATGAGTTCACATAAAGTATTCACAAGTAAAATAAAAAATACCTGACAAAAGCCCAAAAGACAATTCTCATATTGCGGTCACAAATTACCCATATCATTGGAAATTACAGTACAAATACAATTTCAGTTCTGTTCACGATTCACACTTCTGTATACCTTATTACATCAAGCTCCGATACAGGGCAATTTAGGTTCAGCCATATTGTCCATACAAGTAGTTTTGATCAAAACATTCCTCATGCTACAAGTATACAACATACTGCAAATAATAAAACCATGATGTACCGACTCCCTCCAAAAATCACTATAGTAAATTCTTACTGTTCCATCCAGCGCTAAAGAAACCACAATTCAGGCTCAGGCATCCCGTTTTCACAGGAAGAACTGTGTTTTTACACTCAGCCTACACTAGCTACAGCAAAGCCATATGCTTTATCTCAAGTTCAGGCACCCGTAAGAATGGCAAGCCGCTCATTAAATTACAATGTGGTATTTGGGTACTACATTCTTCAGTTACAACTTCTTAATTTCAAGCACTTCTTTTTCCTGTTCAATAACACAGCTTTTACAGAACAATCTAGAAAGAAAATGTAGGTTATTTTGAAATAAAATTTGTTATTGGAGAATTATCAAATCTCAATGCTAATATAAACAAACATCTTGGCACCAGAGCTGTAAGCCAAAAACAGTTCATACATAAAAACCACATGCTCCTTAATGCAATCTAGCTATAATAATCATCGGTGTTAATATGCTTCTTTTTATCAGAGCTAAAAATACTTAACAATAAGAAGATGACAATACTTGTTCAGAGAATCACTTCACTTACAGTTTTTAAGCGATAACTTTGGGATTAAAATCCAAAGCCGTACAGAACTGTTTGTGCTCCTGCTAAAGTGCCGGTATTCCTTCCTACCGTTTAAATTATTTGATCATTCATTTGAAAAAAAAAACCCACGTAGTTTGTTATTCTCAACATTTTAATGTATATCCAAGAAGGGTAATGTAACATCATGAACATGAGAGCGTCTGACAAACCTGTAATAATCAACAAACAAAAGGAAGCAAAGCCCAAATATTAGGATGAGTAAACTAATATAAATATGGAAAATTGCTAACTAGAGCACAGACTACTCCTCAAAGCAAACTTTAAAAGCATTTATTTCATTCTTTCAACTCTAACCTCTAAAATAGCACACTCCAAGAACCATAACAAATAAGACCAGTTTCCCCATAGAACACTTAATTGGGAAAACGTGTATGAGCCACAAGATGCCTTTATCAGGAGAAATCAAGCAAAAGCTACAATTTAGTTTTCAACAAACAAGAATGAGGAATTGGAAACACTGCTTCAGCCAAATAAAATACCTAAGTACCATAATGCTACCTTCTTCACAAGAACAAAAGCACCAACCACCAGCTCCACCCCACCCCCAAGCAGGCTGTTGCTCTCTCTAACCACATAGCCAATGCTGCAGACAATGTAATCCCCACAGGGAAGACAGAAGGTCAGGGACACACTGTGAAATCATAAAATAAGGTCCACGTTTCAGAAAGACACAGCAGTGTTTTCTCTAGTCAGGATTTCATTTGGAACAAGCAGGTGGAGCGTGGACACGGCCTGCTCTTCTCTGGACTGTCCCTTCCCTCAACACACAGAGGGAGGTTTCAAGTGTTCAGTACAGTCCAAAACTAAGGGCACAGCACTTAGAGCAAGCAGAGGTAGTAAGGGTGGCAATATTTAGCGTAACACTGCAGGTGAGACTCTGTGCTGTACGGCAGCAGTGGGGCTGTTATTATTCACCAGCTGTAGGTGGCTACGAGGGTGTCACTTATTACAGTGACACACCACAGCAGGCTAGCCATGATTAAGTATTACCCAGTGCGGTTGGAAGAGACGGCAGCTATCATTCCTTGTGATCCACTGTGGCTTAGTGGGGTGGGAAGGCTACTGCCCTTCACTGCAACACCACGCAACACGAGCAGGAAGGCAACTAAGCAAGCTCCGCAAAGCCCAGAGAACGGGGAGCGGCACACGGTGCGGAGAACGGAGAGCACGGCGCCCTGCCCCGGGACAAGGGAGTCCGACCCGCAGCCTGCCAGCTCCGGCGGCCCGGGAGCGCTCCGCAGCGGCGCCCAACGAGGCTGGAGCCGGGGACCCGCAGCGGCTCCGGCAGGCGCTGAGGCAGAGTCGGAGCCCAGCGCTCAACTTCTCTCAGCCACGAGAGTCTTTGTCCGAGCGCTCCCGGCCAGGGCCGAGGGAACCCGGGGGTCCTCTCCCGCGACGGGGCGGGCCGGGCAGGCCGAGCAGGGATAACGGCCGTAGCGGCCGCGGTGCCTCTCCCCGCAGGGAGCGAGCCCTCCGACAGGCGCTGCCCCGGGCCGGCGGGGACGAGCACCGACCCGGCGCGGGGTCCCGACCGCTCCGGCAGCGCCGGCAGAAGGGGAGCGAAGGGAAAGCGCCCGTCCCGCGGGCACCCCGCGCCCGGACCCGGCCGGGCAGCCCGACCGCCGGCAGCCGCTGCCCCGGCCCAGGGGGGCCTCCTGCCGTGCGCCCACCCGGGGGGATGCCAGCCCCCCGGGGTTTGCGCCTCAGGGCCCGCCCGCGGGCCGTCCGGAGACGCGCTCTGAGTCCCCCAGGGCGGCGACGGGGAGGCCGAGGGGCGGGAGCCGGGCAGCCGGCGGCCCGGCGGCCCCCGAAGCCGAGCGCTCCCAGCGCGGCGCCGCGAACCCCCCACACTTACCCTGTCACAACAGGCGCCATCTTCCACAAACTCTCGCTAAAACTCCTACTCTCGCGAGAGCGCCCCCCTCCCCGCACCTGGAGCGCGCGTGCGCGAGCCCGTGAGACACGCGCGGGTCGGGGGGGCGGGGGGTGGCGCGCCCCGCCCACTCAGCGCCCGGGTTCTCCCCTCAGACACAACAGCCCGGGCGTGGGAACCGCGCTGCGCTCGCGAGAACAAGGCACGGCCAGACGGCGGGCAGAGGAGAGAGCGGGGAATTCTCGCGAGAGCTGAGAGTGGTGGGTGGGGCGGGGGATTCCCTCTGCCCGCTCGTACGTCTGGCTCCTGCGCGTCCCCCGGCCGGCGGGGCGGCCGGACCGACGGGGGGCGGGGGTGGGAAAGCAGCGTCGCCTGCCCGCAGGGAAGAAACCATCCCGGGCGAGGAGGGGAGGAGGTGGCCGGCAGCAGGCAAGCAAGGGGCGCCAGGTAGCGATGGCAGCTCGGCACCGTGCAGGAGAACCAGGGGCCGCCTTCTCCTCACCCCCCTCCCCCGCCCCTGGGCGGGAGGCGCGGGTGGGCCCGCCCACGTTGTGCTCCGGGCTGCGCCGCCACGTGCGAGGCGTCGGCGGGGGGAGCGGGCGGCTGAGCCTCGAGCTGCGCGTGCGGTGAGGAGCCGGCCCGGCTCGTGGGCCTCCTGCTGCTCCGCGCGGGCCTGGCCAGCAAGGACGGCGGGCTGCGTGCGAGGGCAGGTGGGGGAGCAGTGCGGTGTGCTGGGATGGCAAACGCTGCGCTCGGATAAGAAGGCATTCTCTGGAGTTCTGCTGGTAATGCCATACGGGTCTTCTCTGCTCGAGTGTGAAACCTGGGTTGGAAACAGTTGGGCAGCGTGGGCTTCCTGCTAAAGCTTACAGTGTTGTTATTCCCAGTAGCACTGCCTGGGAGTGTGGGCCAAATACTCTGTCATTCCTGTTTGTTTCATACCAAGCACGCAAAACAGCTATGAAAACCAAAAGAAATCTTTTTGCAAACTGGGCATAAAAGCTGACTGCAGGAGCCTGGGCCTCGAGGCACAGTTACTGGAAAAATCTGTCAGGTTTCCTACATTGTCGTGTTTGAAAAATCAGTTTTAAATGCCTGGTTTAATGATTCTGGTGTTTTCTACAATCAAAAACATAAGCTACAGTTTTGGTCCCTGCTTGCACTGACCAATAAAGTGAGCCTTGTAATGATGACTCAGAAGTCTCAGCAGAGATGCTGTATCTGTACAAAGAAGCTGGCCTGGCTGCTCAAAAGTCTTGAGTTAATAGGAGCCTGAATTTGGTCCATGTAACAATATGACCATTGCAAGGTGAGGGTCTGATTGTCCATGGGAGGACTGTGTGTGAAAATTAATCAAAGATTGTGTCCTATGTCTTCCTTCACAGAATCACAGAAATCACAGAATCACCAAGGTTGGAAAAGACCTACTGGATCACCCAGTCCAACCATCCACTGATTACCACTCTCACTAAACCATGTCCCTCAACACAACATCCAAATATTACTTGAATGCTTCCAGGGTTGGTGACTCCACCACCTCCCTGGGCAGCCCATTCCAGTGCCTCACCACTCATTCAGAAAACTAGTATTCAAGCTCTTTATACATTTAGTTTAACATATGTAACTTCAAAAGCAGATGCAACTTTAAAGATTCCCCAGGCTCCAAAAAGTGGGTCATTTTTATTACTTCACCTCCACACCTCTGCTGTCTCCCAAATTAGGAAAAAGTAATGTATTTTCAGTAACACCATTAACATGGTGCTTCTATATGTCTTCATGAAGTATACTGTCTTCTGCTAACACTAATCCAATGAATGTCTCAGATGGGTAAAACTGTGCTTTAAGAGGTTGCTTGGCCACATAGTTTGCTGTAATTCTATTAACTGTACAAACAGCTGTTGTCTGCTATCATTAAAACCGTTTTTTCCATTCTGATTTCTCTCTCTTCATTAATTATCAAAGGACATTGATTGGCTCTGTGAAGGAGCCACGAAGGCACAATTCTTGTTGAAAGCACGATACATACTGAAAATCCTCTGTGTTGTTTGTGAAGAGCAACTAATAATCCCTTTAGAAATCTCTTCCTAACATCTTTTTTTTTTTCTTTTTTTCCAAGGCTAAAGAATGATCTCAGTTCATGTTAGCTCCATTCCTTCAAGAATGGTTCCTGGACATGTGCCATGGCCTGTCTCTAGATGGTCATTTTCTGAGGCCCCTCTTTTAGTGTGTTTTAAATCAAAATGGAAAATCTAAAAATACTGCACACAATAACATGCCGTGTCTAGACTCTTTTGATATTTTACAAAGAAGGCATTTGTATTAATAATCAAATTAATTGGATACTGATGCAGATACATTATTTTGAAGAATTAATAATTAAAGAAATGGTCATAATTCTTTCCATTTCTGACAGCTATGATATAAAACAAATGACCATTGAAATTTTTTTTCCTTTCTTTTCAGTTATAAACAATCTACAGTGCGAAAGGCCAGGAATACTATTCATGTCAAAAACAATAGCCTCGAGTATCTCGAGGTGGAAAGACAGATAATAAAACCACAGAGGGTTTCTTAGGTATTGTTCATACATTGAATTTTACTCCTCATTGCTTAAAATTCTTATTTCACATAGCAGTACAAGCAATATCTATTGACGTGAGTGCAAACTGAAAGCATCTCATGCCTCAGGGTACTGGGCCCCACTCGCTTTCTGGTCTTTAATGAATTGTAAATACTTCCAGACCTGAGGCAGAGGGGCAAATGTGAAGACAAAGTTTTCACAATTAAAATTTTTGTATGTGCTATGCAATCAGCAGTTGAACCTTTCAATACTAGGTGATTTTAGCCCTGCTGAGGTCAGTGGAATAGTTTTGAGCCAGACACGGGGCTTCAGAAATGGAGAAACATGGCTCAGAAGTGCCACTGAAGGATGGGATTCATAAGGCATGGGGCCACACTCCTTCAGCTGGGTACCAGAACCACCAGCTGCCTTTAGAAAGGAAAGGAAATCTCTTCTGCTGACATTTTGTAAATTGTGGGGCAGGAATCCCTCCTGCTTTCTGGGCTCTCAGGCTCATACAGGTGTGGACAGAGCCAGGTCTATGGGTCTGTCTGTCTGCAGTCTGTTCAGATGCCTGCAGCTCCATCTGGGAAGTTATGGTTCCCTCATCTTCATGGCTATCATGAGGCTGAAGGAGCTGTCTGCTGGGCTGAGCACAGCCTGGCTCTGGCCTGGCAGGATTGGGGAGCACTGGCTGCTAGCAGTAATAAAAAGGCTTGAGATTGCAACAGCCTGCTTGACCAGTCCAGGCCAAACTTTATCCAGCTCGGCTGTAGCTCTGGCCTTCCCAGGCTCGTTCCTTTGGGCCTGACACAGTTCTGCCTGCCTGCTCATTTGGCTACAGCTTCGAGTCTGGATGACTTGGAGAATGTTAGAAGACAAAAGATCTGCATCCATGCCTGTAGGAGCACTCTGTGTCTCTGAACATCTGTTGCATGTTTAGAACAGTGAGTCCTCTTTCCCACCTGAATCTTGCTTCTGAGAAAAAGTAACTCATAGCACAACTTGTAAAATCCAAGCTATTTATAAAATATAGTGACCTTAAAAACCATCGTAGGTAGTAGAATCACACACTTATCTGAATCTTCAGTTCAGCGCAAGTAACAGGTTTCTCTAGATGCTGCCGTTTATATCTGGTGATGGAAATCACACATTCTAGTAGTACATACTATGATATAACTCTTCTGGAATTTTATAAGCACAGGATGTACAATGTGGTTTAACCGCGTGTCTAGGAAAGAAAATAAACAGGCAATTGCCCACAGACCATATCTTACATCTAAGCTTCTGTGCATATGCCAGCTAAAGTTACTGCCTTAACTTCTGGCCGGACAACTAGATGTTAGAAATGCCTCTGCTGCTCGAAATGGAAGATACTGTTCAGTGTAGCTCTGAGGATTTGTTACACTGTCCTGAGATGATAACAGTAATGGATAGTTAGCAGTTTTAAACAAGTGGTGCTGAATAGTTTTCACTTGTGTGTCATAATCTCCGTAGCACAAAAAAAAATCTGAAACTGCAACTTTATGCCAGTTAGGGCATAAGTGTGCCTTAGCACAGTATATCCCAAAAGCCACAGTCAGGCTTGTGCTTCACTCAAGAATGCTTTGCAAGCAAGCACAGCATCAAGCATTTTTAGAATCTAAAGGCAAAATGCAAGAAGTGAGAATAACAAACAATAGGAAGGAAGAGGGGGAGGGAAGATGAGGTTAACAGTAATAACATCATGTGGTTATGTAGGTTAACAGTGTGAACAGCTTGATGACTGACTTCTATACCCTTTTATTTTTAAACACTTTTCTAAAACATTCTGTTAAGAAACATTTAGTATTGAACTTTGCCCCTCACCCTATCCCTTCAGTTATTTTCCATTAGATGAAGTATATAGATGAATAGAATTCTCTATTTGCACTGTGTATATCTGTACTCCTTAGGTTCTTCAAAGAAACAGCTATCCATCTCTGAACTTCCTCTGCATAGTGCTTCTTTCCACTGCTGCACGTATGGGGTGCCCAGCCCAGAGATTTTGTGGCACC